CAGCAGTGCCCAAAAGGGTCGTTTTGGGGATCTCAACAGGGCGTGCAGCATCAGTAAAGCTAGGGTTAGCCCAACAACCGTTTCTGAGCTTTTTCGGGCGGCTCCCAAACCGTTTCTGCTTTTCGGGTAGCCCGTTTCTGAGCTTTTCCGACGGCTCCCATTACTTGGGCCTTGGTGTGATGTTGTGGTTTCAAGGTTTTAGGGCTTAGGCTTTCGGGTTTAGGGTTGATTCAGGATTTAGGATTGAAGCTTAGGATTTAGACTTCTACAAGCAGGATTTAGGGTTTAGGATTTAGGCCCCTGAAGGCCTGAGGCCCCATGGCGGCCCCAGACCGTTTCTGAACTTTTTCCTGCGGCAGCTCGGCGGTGGTTTTGCCGCTGCCTGAAGGCTTTCTTTGATGAGGTTTAGGAAGGGAATGTATTCATCGTTTGCAATCAAGTTGCCAGGCGGATGAACCCGCGGCATGTTCGCCGAGATGATTGTCGGAAAGCCAGATGCTTGAGCACAAACTGAGAGCACATGCTCATTTGGGTACTTGGAAGGTTTACTCGTTTGCTTCATGCCCAGCTCACGGATTTGCATGCATCGGACAAACGAGGCTCTTTTTTCCGAATCATTGCTACAAGCGGCGGCTTCGCTCACACGGGGGCTCTGCCCGCGCCGTGTGGGCAGCTGCCGTAAGATTACCCAGCTGCGCTCATCCTTTACGACGGTGCCCAATGCACAGTACCTACTGTTGGTTCTAGTGACAAACAGATCAGCGATAGCCAGGTCAACTGCGCGCTGCTTTCGGTGCGCATACTTCATAAAAACCCATCGTCTGTGGGTGGGTTATTTTGCGCCGCAGGCTGCCTTCATGTAAGGTTGGCCGGCAGACAGTGGCGCCTGTCGATTTGTCCGATGAACCTCCAATCTCTGTCATGCCTCACTCGTGAAAGAGCCACGTAGAGTGCAGCGCGCACGAATGGCACATCCATCCATATGGTAATGTGTGGAAGAGTAGCGCCTTGGATTTTATGCAGGGTTGTACTGTAGCCGGGACGTTGCGGGAAGGCCGTTACTCTGCGAGTGCAGCCATCAGACAGGCCAATGTCTCTCGTGATGGGGTGGATGAGGAGAATCTCACCTTCATCGGTTCGCACCTGCACCCCGCTGCGCCGCATCCGCTGCACTACTGCACCCATGCCGTTCACGAAGCCGTGCTCTTTGTCTGCGTTCTTTGTAATCCTCACCCGCATGCCTTCGTAGAGCATCATCTGGGCGGGTGCTGCATCTACCTGCATCTGACCCCAGAAATTCTCTGGGTTATCGTCGGGCTCGCAGGGGATCTGGCCTAAGGGCTCTGCGTCCCCGAATAGCATTTGGACTGCGAGTCGATTCAGATGGGCTGCGCCTTTGCGAGATATTGTCACAAACGTGGTCTGAGGCGTCTCTCTGAGGATGGCTGCGATGTCGGCAGCCGTCGGAATGCCGGACCTTGGCCGGTGTCTCA